AGTGGTGGTGGCCAATTCAGGCGCTGATTGTTCAGTGAAGTAACCTGGACTGGGGGCGGCATCCTTCGTGATTTTTTATGAGTGATCCAGTCTGATTTTTATATTTACTGTGTATTCTACCACTATTCCTTTGAGTCTGAGTTGGACGGGAACCCCAGTTGGCTCCCTAGGTCTCTCGGGGCTCCCACACTCAGTGCAAGGGCACTCAGTTAAAGGAAGGGACCCTCAACGGAACATTTCCTGTCGGCTGTTTGTTTGGCAAGCAGAGGGCGAGTTTTCGTAAGTCCCCAGGTGCTTCTGCAGTGGGTGTTCTAAGTGCTGACTCAGGTTCAGTTCATGTCCTCTGTCATATTTGCTAGTGTATTTCTTGTTTTATTTTGAGAAGAAAATCAAAAGAAATGATGTCCCTTCCTGGTACCCACTGGTGGTTTTTTTTGTTTGTTTGTTTGTTTTTATATTACTACCTGTACAGAATGGTAGGGAGCTTTAAAAACAACCTCTAAGTCAAGAATTTTTGCCAGGTCCGGCATCATTGTCCATCCCAGGGCAGGACAGAATTAAGGATGGGCAGTGAGGGGCTGACAGCTGCTCCCTGACTTAAGAGGCAAAAGAAAGCTGGCCCCCACTTCTCTCCCCATTTCTGTTTCCCTCTAATGCCCTTCTTTCCCTTTGGACCACAGACTGTGTTAGGTAGGAGAGCTCAGTTCATAGACGCCTCAGCAAGTGTCCTTCTTTGCACAGAGAGAGGGAAACAAGATGTTGGGTCTGCATCTGGTGCCTGGTCCTTCTATCCTACACCAAAAGAGCTTCAGTCCCCACTCAAAAGAGAGGAAATAGCACATCTTCGGTTAACTGGAACATTTTTTATGGGGAGGATTTTTTTGTAATTCAATCAGTATTTTTATATTTGTTTATTAAAATTTTTTCACTCATTGTTCATTTTTATAAAGTAGTCCCTGAGCACCCGTGAGCACCTGTGGCTATCACCACAGCCCCTTGTGCTCTTCCCTCCCCTGTTGTGTGCCTCAGATCTATGGTTTGCCTACAAGTTTTGTCTTTTTCCTGATTCTTTTTTCTATTTCTCTGTATTTGTTGGGAGGATTTTAATATTAAGATTTTTCAGTGTAGGGGGCCTCCCTGGTGGTGCAAGGGGTTAAATCTCAGCACTATGAAACTATCGCAGCCACTGTAGCACAAGTTCGATGGCCGGCCAGGGAGCTGACCCACATGGCACTGTAGACCTCTCCTGTCTCACCCCCCGCAGTGTATTTCAGTAGATCTGCCTGTTCTGTTCCCCACTCTGTCTCTGGTGAATCCTCTCACCCCCACACACACACCTCTGGCCTACACCCCAGCTCTTGTATGCATAAATAAATAAATCTTTTTTAAACTTGTTATTGAGAATTGAAAAGTTGAGGAAGTGCCTCAAAGTCTGCCTGAGAGACAACTTCCTGTGGACCCCCTCTCTGCCTGGATGTGCACCTGCATGTGTATCCAGCTCTGGGCAGCTTCTGGGCATGTGTGCAGTCATGTTCTTGCTGCTTTGTGGCCTTTTTGGATTCTTTTCATACATAACAATATGAGCATTTTCTAACTTAGTGAACAAACACCCTTTTTAATGGTGGCATAGTTAGTACTGCATTGTATGGATAAACTTTTTCTTTAACCTCTTTATCCCACCATTTATTTCCATTTCCCCCATTCTTTTTTTTTTTTTTTTTATAGAGGCATGTTTTATTTATTTGTTTGTTTATTTGTTTGTTTGTTTTGTCTATACATGCACTGGGTACAGTCAGAAGCACGGGAGGGTGAGAGAATTCAGCAGAGCCAGAGCGGGGAGCAGAGCAGGCAGAAGGACCGAATTACACTGCTGAGGGGAGCAGCGGGTGGCAGGAGAGGTCTGTGCGCCATGTGGGACCCTCCTCCGGTGTCTGGGGAGCAGTCGGGGATCGAACCAGCGCCGCAGAGGCCTCGGGCAGCTTCACAACCCAGCGCTCAACCACTGTGCCACCAGGTTGGCCCCCATTACCCCCACTTGACATCTTTGTACATTTTCAGTTAACTCTTTAGGATAAATTCTCACCTGTGGTATGACTGCGAGAGAGGGCATGTTCACTTTAAATTTTGGCTTGTTGGCACAAGTATATTCCCGGTCCAGTTTGGACAGATTTACACTCTCACCCACAGTCATGAAAGCACCCACTTCCCCTCACCACAGGGAAACCCTAAATGACAACATCAGGCTTCAGAAACTGCAGGAGATTATGCAATGACATGCATGTGTGCCCTGTGCAGATGGCACAGCCACATAACCCACATTTGTGTCTAACACACTTTCTGTTGAAATCTAGAATTGAGGGCTCCTTTAGAACTAACAATAACTGTAAAACTCCAGCCCTTTAAAGTGAGAGGTGATGAAGCTCTGGGCAGGTAGGTCAGTGACCTTCTCAGGTAGCCGCGATGGACACAAGACACCTGTCCCTTATCCTCCCTGCTGCCTGAGCCCCATTCAAGTCTTCAAGTTTCCCTGTTGCACAGACACTGGGGTTCTTGCTTTTCTCCTACACTGACGTAGGATCAAGCTTTCACTCCTTTGGCTCAGGTTCAGGTTTCAGACCATCCAGGAATGCCCTACCCAAGGGTGGGATTGCTTCTCCCTGACAGGGTCCACGGTTAGGAGCTGAAGTCTGGCAACTACCTTCACATTGTTCTTTAGGTAACACCCTCCCCTCATTGTGTAACATTTGGTTCTGTCAGCCTCTTCCTCCTTCTGGAAACTGTGGGCTCCATCATTGTAACAGATCCTGGTTTCCCTGCCATGTTTCTGATTGCTTTTTCCAGGCTCCCTGCCTGCCTCTCCCCCTCCTCACTTCGTGACACCATTTCCAAAGGTCGCTTCACTTCTCTGCTGTCACCTCTTCTCATTCAGTCCTTATCTGTTAAGGACCAGTCTTTTAGAATCCTGTTCTCACATTTCTAGTACCCCCCTGGCACCTTAGCTCAAGGTTTCTCAGCCTCACTGCTGTTGACATTTTCAGATAGAAAAATCTTTGTTGTGGGGGGCTGTCCTGTGTATAACAGGATGTTTAGTAGTATACCTGCCTTCTTCAGACAAGATACCACTAGCACCTACTTGGTTTTGACACCAAAAATATCTCCAGATATTCCAGATATCCCTGGAAGGGAAAAACTGCCACCAGCTGAGATGGGAAGCTACAAAACTTAGCTCTACTTTTCTCCAGTTTAAATGGGTTGACCAGACACCAATATTCTAGCCCAATTTTGTCCATGCTAAAGCACAAGGAGACCAGGGAAAGGGGTTCAGGATCTCACAATTCTGAGAGGTGAGGGGCCTCCCACCCTTTAAGCTCAATCACCCTCAAATCCTCAGCACTACAGCCCTAACTGATCAGAGTTGACATGAATGGGAAACTGCCATGCCATCCTGCTCACTATAACATACCCTTGCTTACCTTTCCAGGTATTGGGCAGAGTATAGTGGTGGAAAATCTTCTCTGACATGACTTTTGGCTGCACTTGTTAAAGACAATGTGGTAGCTAATACTGTGTCCCCAAGACTAGGCCTGGCACATCATTGATATTCAATAAATGATTGAATAAATCATTTTATTTATTTTTTTGATTTAAAATTTTTTTAAATTTTATTTTTATATTCCCCATACAATTGCAACCCCCTTATTTTGACCCCAATCCCTTCTTTCCCCGCTCCCCCCATGTGTGTCTCTGGTTCATATTTTTTTGTTGATTTTGATTTTTTCTTTCTTATAGTTATTCTTTTTCCTGGTCCCTTATTTAGGTTTTCTGGATTCCTGCTATGAGTGAGACCATCCGGTACTTTTCTTTTTCTTTCTGGCTTATTTCGCTGAGCTTGATCCCTTCCAGCGCCATCCATGTTGCTGCAAATTGCATGTGTTTATCTTTTTTGATTGCTGAGTAATATTCCATGGTGTATATGTACCACATCTTCTTGATCCAGTCATCTATTTTTGGGCATTTGGGTAGTTTCCAAAGCTTAGCTATTGTAAACAGTGCTGCTATAAACATAGGGATGCAGGTGCCCTTTGGAATAAATGTTTCTGTGTCCTTTGGGTAAATACCTAGGAGTGGAATTGCTGGATCATATGGAAGCTCTATCTTTAGCAGGTTGAGGAATCTCCACGCAGCTTTCCATAGTGATTGGACCAGTTTGCACTCCCACCAACAGTGCAGGAGAGTTCCTTTTTCTCCACAACCTCGCCAACATTTGTTGTTGCTAGTTTTTTTAATATGTGCCATTCTCACTGGTGTAAGATGGTATCTCATGGTAGTTTTGATTTGCATTTCCCTGATTACAAGTGATGTTGAAGATTTTTTATATGCCTGTTGGCCATTTGTATTTCCTCTTCGGAGAAGTTTCTTTTTAGCTCTTCCGCCCATTTTTTGACTGGATTATTTTCTTTGTTTTTGTTGAGTCACATCAGCTCTTTGCAGATTTTTGTGATCAGTCCTTTATCACTAGTGTTGTGTGCAAAATTTTTCTCCCAGTCGGTGGGGTTTCTCTTTGTTTTGGTTCCTGTCTCTTCTGCTGTGCAGAAGCTCTTTAATTTGATAAAGTCCCAGCTGTTTATCTTTGCCTTCACTATCACTGCTTTGGGTGATGACAGCCATACTTATATCAGATGAAATAGACTTCAAATTAAAAAAAAGTAAAAAGAGACATAGATGGACACTACATTATGATTAAGGGGACAATACATCAGGAAGATACAACACTCATCAACATATACTCACCAAATGAAGGGGCACCAAAATATATGAATAAACCATTTTAGCAGTGATTGTCTCTGGTTGTGGGGCTAGAAGTGACATTTCATTTTGTGTTTCTTTATTTTCTGTAATTGGGAGTTTTTGTTACTTGATCTGGAGGAAAACACATGACTATTTTCCCCTACCAGAGAAGAACAAGGCCCCTGCCTCATCCCCATATCTTTTTTCCCCAGGTCTGACCCATCCGAAACATGGCCACCAGTGCCGTCCCCAGTGACAACCTCCCTACATACAAACTTGTAGTGGTGGGTGATGGAGGCGTGGGCAAGAGTGCCCTTACCATCCAGTTCTTCCAGAAGATTTTTGTGCCTGACTACGACCCCACCATTGAAGATTCCTACCTGAAACATACAGAGATTGACAATCAATGGGCCATCCTGGATGGTGAGATGTGCATGGTGGCCCTCCACAGGGTGGGTGTTAGAGTGGAAGGGTTAGGGGGACATGGTCAGGCTTGGGGGAGGGGTATATGGTGCTTTCTTCCACATACTATTATGGGACAGTTGGCATAAGCCTGTGTATGGCTTCCCGGGAGAATTTTGAACAGCTTTAGGGAAACCAAAATGTGTATTCAACAAAAAAAGCCAAGGCCAGGCTCATGCCAACTCAGTAATGTCATGCTTATTTCCTCCTGAGCAGAAGCTCTGATGAGCATTTACAGATGTCTCTAATGAATTTTTAAAAGCAGGGGGATATATTATTTTTTAATAAACATAATCTTCATGGTAATTGTTGAGGGTGGTGTGTGAATCTTTCCTCTGACATTGTTTCTGGTTTAATCTAAGTTCTAGATTAACAGTTTTCAAAATGTGGTAGCTAGGCCAGCCCCACAACATCACCCAGAACCTGTGAGAACTGCAAGCTCTCAGATGCTGCCGAGTCAGAAGTGCTGAGGGTGGAGCCCAGCGATCTGTGTTTTAACAAACCCTTCAGGTGATGCTGAAGTTAGAGAGCTGATGCTCTAGTTAGATTCATACCGATTATTACTTTATACTATCTCAGTCTTTCAAACAGCTATTAATCATAGAATGTCATTTTAGGAGGGAACTGTAAAAATCAATCCTCTATCTGATATGTGATTTGCAAATATTTTCTTCTAGTCTGTGGCTGGTTTTTCATTCTCTATAAACAGTATCTTTCCAACCTCAGAGTTTTTAATTTTGATGAAATCCAGTTTATCAGTTTGTTGTTTTATGGATTGTGCCTTTGGTGGTCTAGTAAAGCAATCTTTGCCTAACACAAGGTTTCAAAGGTTTTCTCCTGTTTCCTTCTAGAAGTTTAATGGTTTGGGGTTTTATATTTAGGTTTATGATCTATGCAGAGTTAATTTTTGTATATAATATGAGGTATGGACAAGGTTCAATCTTTTTGTATATGTATATGCATTTATCCCAGGACTGTTTGTTGAAAAACTCGACCTTTTCCCACTGAATTGCATTTATACTTTTGATGAAAATTAGCTGTGTAAATATTGTATTTCTTTGATCTATATTTTTATCTTTACATTACCACTACACTGCCATGAAGTCAGATACTATTAAAACTCCAACTTTGTTCTTTTCAAAGTTGTTTTGGCTAGTCTAGGTCCTTTGCATTTCTGTATACATTTTAGAATCAGCTAAATTATTAAATTCTAAATTTTGATTTGGATTGTGTTGAACCTATAGATTAATTTGATGAGAATTGACATCAACATCTTAATAATGTTGAGCCTTCCAACCCATGAACACATATGTCTCTACATTTATTTTTCTTTAATTCTCTTGTGAATTATTTTGTGTTTTTTGAGTGCATAGGGCCTTTACATCTATTGTCATACTGTACCTATGTCTGTATTATAAATGATATTTTTACTTCAGTTTTAATTATTTGTTTCAAGTATATAAAGATACAATAGAATTTTCTATATTAATCTTATAACCTGCAATCTTGCTAAACTCACTGTGAGTTCTAGTGACTTTTTTGTGGATTTCGTAGGATTTTCTACACAGATGATAATGTCTGTAAGTAAATCCTTTTGCTTTTTCCCTTTTCAACCTGGATGACTTTTATTTCTTTTTCTTGCTTTATTTCACTGAATAAATATATAGATAACCTGTCTTGTTCTTGATCTTAAGGAGAAAGCATTCAGTCTTTCAACATTAAGTATGGTGTTAGCCATTGGTTTTCTTATAAATTCACTTTAGGTTGAGGAAGTTCATTTTATTCCTAGTTTGGCTGGAATTCCATTTTTTCAGGAATGGTTTTTAGGCCTTGTTAAGTGCTTTTTCTGTGTCTACTAACAGAATCATGGTTTTTCTTTTTTAGTTTGTTAATATTATAAATTCTATTGATTACTCTTTCTAATGTTAAACCAATATTGTAGCCCTGGAGTAAACTCCACTTGGTGACATGTATTCTTCTTTTATATTTTGTTGGCATTGACTTGCTAAAATTTTGTGTAGAATTTTTGTGGCTATGTTCTTAAGAGATCTTGCTGTGGTTTGCTTGTAATGTCTGCACAATGCTGGCCTTACAGATTGAATTGAGAAGTATGCCATTTTCTTCAATTTCTGGAAGAGTTTAAACAAAATTAGTATTATTTCTTCCTTAAATGTTTACTTTGGGCCTAGCTGGTGGCACAGGCATTTGAGTGCAATGCTGTGAAGCTGTCAGCAGCCTCTGTAGTATGGGTTCAATCCCGGCCGCCACGGAGATACCCACATGCGCAGCAGACCTCTCCTGTCTTGCCCGCTACTCCCCTCAGCAGTGTATTTCAGTCAGTCTGCCTGTTCTATTCCCTGCTCTGTCTCTGGTGAATCCTCTCACCCTCCCGCACATCAGGCCTGTACCCCAGTTCTTGTATAAAAATAAAATAAATCTTTAAAAAAAAGTTTATTTTTTTTTTCCACTTAAGTTTAGTGAAATTCACCGACTGGGACATCTCAGCCTGGAGTATTCCTTGTGGGAATGTTTTTAACTTTAATAGATATAGGACTATTTAGGTTATCCACTTCTTTTTCAGTGAACTTTGCTTGTTTATGTCTTTCAAAAATGTTCAGTTTGTCTAAGTTATCAAATTTATTGGCATGAAGTTGTTAGTTTTACTTCTTTTAGAAGTATAATTTAACATCTGTAGAGTCTGTAGTGATGTTACCATTCTCACTCCTGATATTGGTCATTTGTTTCTTCTCTTTGCCTTATCAGTTTAACTTGAGATTTTTCAATATCATTGATTTTCTCAAAGAACCAGATTTTGAACCCATTGATTTTTTTTTTTTCATTTGGGTCTATCGATTTCCACTTTTTGTTATTTTCTCTTGTCAGCCTACTTTGGATTTATCTTGCTCTTCTTTTTCTAGTTTCTTGTGTACAAGCTGATGTCATTGATTTGAACATTTCTTTTCTAAGATGTTCATTTAGCTGCAGTCTGCAAATATTAAATGTCATGTTTTCATTTTCATTTGGTTTAAAATACTTTTTGATTTCCCTTTTGATTTCTTCTTTGACCCCTTGGTTATTTAGAAGTATATGATTTAGTTTCCAAATATTTAGGAATTTTCCAGAGATCTTGCTTTCTATTTTCATTTCATTTTGTCAGAGAACATACAGTATATTATGTGAGTTCTTTAAAACTTATTAAGGCTTGTTTTGTGGCCCAGGATATATTCTGTCTTGGTAGATGTTCCATGCACACAAATAAAGAACATGTATTCTGCTGTTGTGGGGTGGAGAGTTCAATGAATGCCAATTAAATTGAGTTGGTGGATAGTGTTGTCTAGGCCTTCTATTGTGGTGATGACTGTTGTTCTTTCCATTTTGTGGGTGGAGAAAATAGCACAGAGAGATTCCTACAGCTAGCAATGGTCTTAACTTCGCTTTGTCTACTATGTTCTCTCTGATTGCCTGGAAAAATCCCCTTCCAGCTCCCACAGCTGATCCCTGTGCCTCTGGAAATGGGAATTGGAATCCAGGAATAAGGGAGTGGGACTTGCCTGGATGATCGGGATCTACAGGCACTCATCTGCCCCTCCAACTCCCCACCCGAAGTCCTTCAGAGAGTTGGGTGCTTGTTCTGATCTGAATTTCAGATCAGAGATTCGTTAGCTTCCTCAGAAGCCTTCTGTTTTCCACACTGGGGATCTCATAGGCAGCCCACTTACATACACACCTGTTTCTTATTTTCTTTCAAGGGGCCTCATTGCCCTTGTTCTCTAAGAACCTAAGAGCTAGGAGGAGACAGCTGACCTGACAGGGGCCAGTGACCAGACTGCATTATCTGCAAACTGCTCTGCCTTCTTCCCCTCAAAGGTTGGGGACCTTCATCTCACCTTCCGTTGTTAAGGCCCAGCTCTGGTAACATCTCTTCACCATCTGGTCCCCACCACTCCGTTGTGGGTTTCCATCAGTTCCTCCATCTCTGACTCTGAGGACCTTCTTATGGTCTCTGGCTTTGGATCCCCACCTTTCAGCCTTGTGACTTACTCATCCCAGTTCTCATGCTGCATAAATCAGGAAGACCCAAGCCTTATGCAGAGTCCTGGAGTTTTGTATTTGTTTTGGTTTGTTTTTTATTGTGGTAAAATATATATAACATAAATTTTATCATCTTAACATTTTAAGTGTACAGCCTTGGGGTATTAAGTCATTGTCCTTGTTCTGCAACCCCCAACACCACCCATTTCCATAACTTATTCTCCTTCTCCAATTGAAATTCTACACTATTAAACACTAACTCTCCTTTTCCCCTCTCATGCAGCCTCTGCTACCACCATTCTTTTTTCCAATTCTATGAATTGACTACTCTGTGTATCTCATGTAAGTGGGGTCATGCAATATCTGGCCTTTTTTGACTGGTTTATCTAACTTAGCACCATGTCATCAAAGTTCATGCATGTGGTAACATATGTCAGAATTTCCTTCCTTTTTAAGACTGAATAATGTTCTAATATATATATATTATATTATATATAATGTATACACACACACACACACATTTTGCTTACCTGTTCATTCAGTGATGGACGTTTGGGTTATTTCTACCTCACTATTGTGTACAATGCGGCTGTGCACAGGTATCCACACATCTGTGCTGGTCCCTGCTTTCCGTTGTTTTATATTAGAGTTCTGTGCCTATTTTTTCTGTGAGGTTGAGGCTGAAGGCTTCTGAACTCCTAACTTTACATCAGAGGAAATGGCTGTACAGATGGAGAAATAACTTGCGTAGCAACAGACCTAACTAGAGGCAGAACCAGGCCAAGGGTTTCTTGACTGTGCCAGGCACATCACCCATTCTATCATGCTGCCTCCTACTCTGACACAGGCCTTGGGCATACAGGGAAGGATGTTGAGCAAATCTTCTGCCCACTGACAAGTAGGGGCAGGTATTTCTGGGTCTTCCCACT